GACTTTTCAGATGTTGTTCTCATGTTTAACAGATTCAATTTTCCAAAGTGAACCAGAAGAGAATAGAATTTCTTCCTCATCTTTACATTTGCTAATATGTGTAATATCAACAAAATAGACGATTGATATTCTCATCAGTATGCATCTCACATACAACACTACCGAAACTATTACCAATTGTACGTCCATCATAAAATATGACTGCCCAGATCAGACAATTCAGCACAGAAACGGTCGGTTCCATAGTACTCCGGAGATTACATGGAATGTTGCTTCAGGAACCATCGTCCTTGGCAATGGGATCGCCGTTGAAAAACGATTAATATCGTGTAAGATCACCATCAACCGGTAGTCTTGTAAATATAAGGCATCATCGAAAGCGATATCAGCTATTGTTTGCATCTAGAACAAAGTGAAAAAAGAAAGAAATAACATGATTTGAAAAAAAGTGGATTTTTATTTGTTCAAGATTTTAAAAGAAGTTCACACAATTCCTTCGCTTTTAGAAACATTTCTTTTGCATCTGCTGGATGTTTTTTATCATTATACGCGTCATCCAACTTACTGTAATGAGCAATTAGATCATGTGTTAATCGAGAACGAAGATTATTGAAAATCCCAGGTCGAACAATCCGGCACGGAAACGGCCGGTTCCGTGGTATTCCGGAGATTTTATGGAAGCAGTATACCCGTCAGCGGATTCGGTGACCGGATTTATCTGATTTGGACTGGAACCTGGTTGATCATAACAATACACTTGCTTGATATTGAGAAGTTTTTCAAATTCAGTTGAAACTGAACTTCCTTAACTACTATCAATAATAAGAAATATCGTATGATTACATTCAGTTGATTGTACACGATGATAACATTCCTGTTCATTGTCATAAGTTGAAAAAGATGAAATAACATCTGCAAATAAATTTCGAATTTTTTGAAATGTCATTGTCATTGTAACCGCTTGGTATTAACCAAACGAGTGATGCTGTTGTACAAATTGGTGGATTCTTGTCAGTACCATTTACAGACGATATTAACTCTCAATAAAGTCTCTGGAAATTCGAAAAATTCGTTCATAATATCGAAGATTATATATTATTTTATTTCTTATGTATCTAATGAATAAACAGAACAATATGTTTGAATATGAGGATAAGTTAAATATGACACTTGTACATTCGCTCACTCACTCATACACAAAAGTATTAACAGAAAGTATCAAAAGAGTGATATATAGTGCAGAGATTTTCGATGTATTTATTTTTCTATAACAAATATAATTATTTATAGATATCGATTTTAAATTCGTAATATCTTTTTCAATTGATGAACTTCATCATTTCCATATAACAACATTGGTACAACTTGAAAAAAGATATTTGTTTTATAGAACTAAACATCTCACATCAGAGTAAGCTGTTATCTTCATTGGAATATTTATTATTCATTCTCTAATCTTTTCATTTGACATTAAAATAAAATATTTATTTAGTAAATAAAAAAGGATTGAATAGGAAATGATAGGAAATCTACATGCATCAGACTCATATAGTTGTAGAGTTAAACGGAAGATAACATTATACATTCACCAAGAAATATATCTGTAGAAAAAAATATGAATCATAAACAAGTATATATACATCTGACAAAATATTTATCATTGATTCATATTAACAAAAGATGTTGATACCTGATATAAGCACAGCATGATGAATGAATAAGAGATACTGATTTAATGCATGTATATTCTTATTTATTAGAGTTATAATTCAACTAAACTAGAATATTAAAGCTTATAATTAGTATCGTTTATCATAGAAACAATGTGTGAAGATAAAATAAGAATTTAATTTGATCGATTATGATATGTTCGCTGTACTTTTGTTTTTGATTGAAGATGAACTGCTTAATTTTGTTAAATTATATATTATTCTTTAAAATTAGATAAAACATACAATAACTCACGAACAGGAATGTCATCATACATTTTTCAACGAAAGAAAATAGAATCTAGTTTGTTGTCACTTATAACATTACAGTATATAGTTTATTGATGATAACTATTGTGCGAGAATAATGTAAAATTTTACATAAATTAAAGTGTAGATTTTTTTTCAATATTTTTTATTCTTTTTCGTTTTCATAAAAAAAGTAGTGTTGCTCTGGCAG